CCCCGCCCCCGCCCGCCTCCACCACCTCAGGCTAAACGCGCGTGGCAGTTTGCACGGCCCTGCACTACACCACACTGCCCTGTGCACATGGCTGCATCGGAATTGGATGACGAGGGGGAGAAATGGCGGGAGGTGGGCGAAGGGGGCTGTTATTTGCCGAGGGAGTCGGGAAGAAAGAAGGGGCAGGGAAGAGAGGTGTTGGCTTTTTGTCTTTTCCCGTCTTTTTCTGCACCCTTTTTTATTTTTATATATAGATGGATACCAAACCACTTTTGCTTGTTTCTCACGCCGCACACGCGTCCAATCTTTTCCCTCTTTTTTTTATCACGTGCCATCTGTCACTTTGCTTTCTAATAAGTCACCTGTTGGAGGGCCATTTTTCCGCTTTCTCTCTCTCTCTCCCTCTCTCACTCGGGCGCGGTGGCGGGGATGAGCGCGGGGCGTGGAGGGGGTCCTGGCTCCGGCGAGCGGAGAGATTCATCGCATCTGTAGGCTCCACACAGAGGGTGGAGAGGGGAGTGGAAGGGAGGGGGTGAGAGAGGGTTGGAGGGCTCGTCGCGCCGCTGGGACAAGAGGAAGAAGAAGACATAAAACGTGACAACGCATGTGTTGGTGCGCGGCGGGGTAATCATTTTGACAAAAGTCGACGACTGCCGCGCCAAAGTATACTACTTTTATGGTAAATAGAGACGCCCTGCTCGCCCTCGCCTTCCCGGCCGGAAAGAAGAGGGCGGTGCGGGGATGAGAATGTTTGAGAAAGGACGACGCGTTGTGCTTGTCGAGATGGAGCACTGGCAGAATCCAGTGATGTTACGTATCATCGTGAAATAAGAGTCTGCTGACATTACTTCCTGTGAATAAGAAAATATTTACAGGGCATATGAGACTACGCCAAGACGTATCGCATTTTATTAAAGGTCTCTTGCGGGTCCTATCTTTTGTTTCCCGCGAGCAGTGCCCACGCGCCCCCCGCGCACTGCTCACCGGGGGCAACTAATGCCCTGCCCGGCCGTCACCGCCCCCGCCGCCCCCGCCGCCCCC